GATCACTAGTTCATGGACAGGTCTCTTGCACTTTGTGCATTTGATTCTTTGGGTGAACATTACAAAATAATACTATAAATTGTGTGTCCTGTATTAAATCTATTCTCTTGTAAGCACTGACTACAACACCTGAGGACAGTAGTTCTCCCTTGAGTTCCTTATAAAAATAACTATCCCCTGGGGTTGTCATGAGCATCCCATAAATTAATGCACAGAAGGACTTGAAACAGTGACTAGCACAGTCCTACAGAGGAATGCCACTGTTGTCACTGTCAACCCCTTAAGCCATCAGCCAGAAACTTAAGGCCTGGGAGGCCGGTGAAAAACATCCTGGGGCACATTAGTAACCCAAAGAGGGTCACAGGGAGTGGTGACAGAAGAACATCCACTGTGGTGCTAAACCAGGTACATTTTTACTTCATAGTAGCCTGGAGGAGCTTTTAGGGGTTGGGATCCAGGAATCCTGACAACGGTCAGTTGTACCCTAGTTGAGATGTACAGAAGAAACAGCCAAAAATCACTCTTCTTTCTGGAAGAGTAGCAAGCCCACAGGTTTGAGTGGCTTGAGTAGGTTACGGCACTGAAGTAAGCTTGGAATCTGTGAGGGGTAGGGAGAGCTGAACCTGTTGGAGCCAAACTTCCTGGAGGGGATGGCAGGGCAGATCCATGAAGGGAGCTGGGTTGATGTTGGCCTCTGAACCACACTGGAGAGCCCAGGCTTCTGGATGCTGCTGTAATGCTTTCAGGAAGATCACCCATGCAGTCAAGGGAGAGGATGGGGTAGATATGGGACCTTTGGAAGAAGCAGGTCCTCACCCTGGAGGCAGTGCATAGATGAGACAACAGTGAGGTACATTTGAAGGAAGATGCCCAATGTGAGGGCAAAAGAATGGAGAATAGGCCAGGCAGATCTGTAAGTGCATGAGTGGAAGAGGATTCTGAGAGGTGTGGGCTGGGTTGGGGCCCGAGACGACTGCTGTGAGCCAAAGGTACTGATGGAGACCCTGAGAGCAGATACCTGCTGTGGCCTTGGTGCTGTAGATTGGAAGCCAGGACCACAGTGGTGATTTGAGTGTCATCAATCCACATTTGTTGAGTATTCAATGCACATTTAAATTAGTGCCCCTTGGAGGTCCACTCCTATGGGGTGGAATCTGAGGTCCTGCTTATAGATGAGTTTATCTCAGGGGACAGAGGAGACGAGGAGTGCTGAGAAACTCTGGGCAGAACAGGGCCAGCTCTATACTTGGAGGCTGGAGAGGATCCACTGGGGACTCGAACGCTTCTGGGGTTGCCAGTGCCTGTGCTATGGGCAAGGGGCCTAGGAACTGGCTGCTTCCAGAGCTAGTGATGTGACAGCAGCAGGGGCAAAGTTGGAAGCAGTACAGCCTGAGTTCACAGAAAAGTCTGGGCAGGCAGGATGGAGAGGGGTGTGAGAGCAAGGATGCTGGGCTGATGGGGAGAGGGTCTCTCCTTCAGTACACAGGCTCCCAGGACCCTCCTTGCCGGCTCTGTTCTCTGACCTCTCTTCAGTCCCCCCCAACACAGGCACACATGCTGCTGGAGACCACTTCCTCCCTTCTCAGAGAACTTGAAGATCCACCAGTGGCCTGTGGCCAGCCTCCCTCCTCAGGCTTCCTCTGGGGCCTTCCCTGACTCCATCCTTGGCCTCCCTCTCTGAGAATAAAGGTTGGCTCCCCAGGGTGACTTGAATGAGAGCTTGTCCTTTGTTCCTCTCACTGTCCTCAGTGTGTGTGGCCCCTGCACTCTACCCTCGGCCCAGCTTGTGTTTCCTGGAATTGTGTTTCACAGTCCCCCTGGGCAGGGCTGCCCTGCTGCCTCGCCAGCAGGCCCTGGGTCCCTTTGAGTCTGTTAACAAGTCCAGGATCGGCAGGAGTGTTGCAGACGCCTCTCCTAAGACAGCCTCTCCTAAGATACCGGCTGCAGTCGGGGTGGTCAGCTCTGACTGCTCTGTTCTGCTGAACCTGCCGATGGGGATCTACTGAGATGGCCCTGCGGTAAAAAACAGCTCATGCTCAGGTATAAGAATGTCAGAGCCATTCCTGCTTCCGTTCACCGTGATATTCCAGAAGGAAACCAGAGTTCACCTAGCCAAGGGGTTTTGAAGGATATTTTGATGCTTTGAACCTTCTGTTCAGTGATGGTACACAGACACACAGCTGAGAGCAGAAGTGCTGTGGCTGAACTTTGTACTTCCAGCCCTAAGCCTTGCTCAAGCAGCCCTCAGTGCTCCTGAGGCCCTCTGTTCCATAGAGTACACGCTGAGAGCCGAGCCCTTCGCTGAGAGGCCAGGAAAGAGCCCAGAGAGGCGAAGGGACCCATTTCAGGTCACAAAGCAGGAGCCAGAGCTCAAGATTGCCTGTGGCCCCCTGGTTCTGCCATCCCAGCACTTTTGAACCCCTGACTGAAAACACCCTTTAGCATTCTCTTACATGCTTTGTTTGCCATTCATTCATATAGCAGCTATCAATCAAATACCTACTATGTGTCAGGTATGCAGTAAATGCTCAGGACTATGAGGTGACAGCCAGGGAGACTGGCAAGAAAAGAGATGTCCTGTGCCTTCACGGGCTTCAGGGAGGGCGTGGGGAAGGGCAGCAAAGCCAGCCATGGGCACAAAAGGCATGCAGAAGGAGCCTTCTCAGGCAGGGCTAAGCCTCACTGGGACTGGGGAGCCAACAGCCAAAGGTACACTAGAAGACCAGGAGGCAACAGTGTGTGCCAAGGCCCTGTGGCAGGGGGAGCAGGGCAGGGCCAGAGAAAGGATTGCTGGAGATTCACTCCAGGATTAGATCTGTTAAAAAAAAAAATGATGTCTCTGAACTGAAATCTAAAACAGAGACTTGGGTCTTGGCTCAGCCTGCTGCTCCCAGGTGACTTTGCGCAAGACATTTATCTGTCAACCTTGTCACCTCATCCAAGGTAGAAGTGAGTTTCTGATGCTTGCACAGGACGGTTGTGAGGTTTAAATGACAGGAACGACCAGCTGGATGAAGCACACACACAGTTTCATTGTTAATAGCTGTGTGTGGGGTGCTGTGTGAAGCAAAGAGTAACATTCTGTCCCCATCCTCATCTGAGCTGGGTTCTTTGCATTCATTGTAGTCTTCTGTCTGCTTTTCTGACTTTGGTCACATGCTACTTGGGTGTTCTTAGCTGAGTTTGTCTCCACTCTACAGTATATGTTCTACTTGTGAGGAGTGTATATGTGTATCATAGTGTATGAATGTGCATATCATGTGTCAGTGTGTTGCTCGTGCTCATTTACTTAAAAATATCAAAGTATTGGGACCAGGGATAAAGCTCAGAGGCACAGCACTTGCCTGGCAAGTGCATGGTCCTGAGTTCAATTCCCAGTACCAAAGATAAATAAATAATATCTGAATATTTAGTGCCACTTTGATCCAGGCCCTACTGTTCCCATCGTCACTGTGGTCCACCCACGTTGCTTGGGACTGTGTGTCCATCTCCATGATGCTGGTGCCTTGGGCCATTCTGTGCATGAATATGCAGACCATGTCCTCTGAGTGACTGCCCCGTGTTCTTGTGTGACCATGTCTTTGCTGGTGTTGTGACATGTGGTGGTGTGGTACAGGTGACAGGGTCATGTGGCAGTGGAGTGCTGCGTGGGCATGTGTGCTGTCTTGCTGTGTGAGTGTGTGGTTGTTGGTGTGTGGATGTGTGCCCTGACCCAGCAAGGATAGGTTGGTGTGATGTGTCCCTCTGCCTTCTGGTGGGGGTGGTGGAGGAGAGAGAGACCAGGTCCCTTGCTGTGCATCAGAGGAACATGAGCAGCTGGGCCTGTTGGGGGCGCTCTCTCAGGGCCCGGAGGGTAGGGAGGGATTCGAGTAGGCAGTGGAGCTGCTGCTAGTAGCTCAGGATGTTGGGGAGTTGAAGGGGAGAGGGAAAATAGGGACTGGCAGACGAGTGGAGTAATAAAGGGGTGGGGGGAGGCCCGGCAGGCAACAGTGGCAGAGCCGGCAGAGATGAAAGTGGCCGGGCTGGCGGGCAGGCAGGTGGCCTCTCCCTTGCCCTGTCAGCACTTTTTAATGTCCCCTTGGTTAGAATGTGTGGGAGGACTGGGCCCAGAGAAACCAGAGTTCACCTTTCTCAGGCCCCAAAGGAGAGTTTTCTGGGTGTGGTAGCCGAGAAAGAACACAACGGAGATGCTCCGCAGCTGCAGCCGTAGGAGGCCCAGGGTGGGAATGGGGACAACTGCAAAACCCGGAACCCAGAGGGACCACGGGGCACATGTGCACGCGCACAAGCAGGTTACTTCTCTGGCTGTGTCTGAAACCCCGGATCAATTCCTGAAAATGTTCTCTGTGTGTGTGCTTGGCCAGCCCTGTGCGTGGGAACTGAAATCTAAAACAGGGACTTGGGTCTTGGCTCGGCCTGCTGCTCCCAGGTGACTTTGCGCAGGACATTTATCTGTTAGCCTTGTCACCTCATCTAAGGTAGAAGTGAGTTTCTGATGCTCGCACAGGACGGTTGTGAGGTTTAAATGACAGGAACGACCAGCTGGATGAAGCACACACACAATTTCATTGTTAATAGCTGCAAGTGGGGTGCTGTGTGAAGCAGTGGGGGCTCCGGGAGCCTAAAGGTCCCTTTGGGTAAGCCAGGCTTGGTGGGTAGTGAGCTGAGGGGACAGGTGCTCGGGAGTGTGACTCTGTGACAGGTCTGTTGTGAGCACACAGGTGTGAGACGGGTGTGATGAAGAGCATGGACCCGGTGGTGGGCCACATGGGTCTGTGGGACCGAGATGCGTGCTCTCATTGTGCAGAGCTGCTTGCCCTGGCCTCTTTGTGTCTCTCAGGTTGCTGGAGCTGCCTGAGGGAGTTGCGTGCACCTCAGAGCACTGGCCGTGCAGGGGTGTGTGGATTGCTGATATGTCTTTGTGTGACCCATCATGAGACTGAAGTGCCTTTGTCTTGGTGGTGTGAGTGTGTTGGTGGTGTGTGGTGCTTGGTGTGACTATTTGTGTGACTCTGTGCGCGTGTGCAAGCGTGTGTTTGGTGAGTGGCTCTGCTGCCTTAAGCACCTTTCGAATACATTGGCCACAGCTCATTGAATCCTTTAACAATCTGACTCTGCTCTTCCTTCCCCGTTTTTTCTAATTCAGTTCCTCTTATTACAAAAATAAAAAATAAAGCACTGCCCCTTTCCAGTGGCTGGCCCTGCGGAGCCCCCGCCTCGGGACCAGCCTCGTTTCACTCCATTTCGGAGAAAACGGGAAGTCGGTAATTTTAAAAATATTTTCTACTTTATTTGGGATTTAATGTTCTTACAGAATCCTGCTGCCTCCCTCTGTCCCCCCATCTACCCCCAGCCCTGCATGCAAGAGGTGTAATGGCCCGTTCAGCATATTAGGGGAGCCAAGTGCGTGCGTGAGACAGAGAGAGAGAATAAAGAGACCCACGGTAGACGCACACACAGATGCACAGCAGCGCAAACACCCAGACATGAGCCCAAGCACCACACACACACCAGCGACAGAAACCCCCTCTCAATCCATAATCACACTGCAGGAAGTCGGGGAGACTTTCCGGGGATACACGGGTAGTCAGAGATGGGAGGAAGGAAGGAGACACGGTCACGGTGAGAAACAGAATAGAAGTAACTCTGGCGCCTTAGAGGGTTGTGAGAGGAGGCGCAAAAGAGGATGAGAGAATTTCTGGTCATTGCAGTCCAGATATTACCCTGTCTGTACAGGGGCACTGCATGGTCAGGAAACGGTCACTCAAGGGCATGCAAGGAGCCACAGCTGCATGTGGGAGCAGAAAGATTCCTGTGTCACTGCCCTGTCCCGTGCTGTTGGGGACTCAGAGCAGTGAGCCATAGGTGTGTGTAGGGTGAGCAGCACTAACTTAAGAACCATTCATATTTTAGGCCCAACAAAGGTTTGCCAAGGCTGGAAGAGCCCGAGTGTGTTCGTGTGTCTGTGAGGACACATGCAGGGGCACCTGAGTTCACCCAGTGTTCCTGCCACTGAACAAAGAAAGGGCTTGCAGCATAGGGTACTCTGCAGTATTAATGGAGGATGGATGAAGAGAATCTCGATGGGAGTCCACTATGAGCTCCCTCGTGCAGGGAGGGCCTGGCCACTGCAAGTGGTGCCCATGAGTACCCACCTCCTCCGGAGCAAGACCTGGGAGCGGGTCAGATCGTGCACCTGAGGGTGGGTGCCAGTGCCCGTGACCTTGTCATCCTGCTGTCCTTCCTGCTGTGGCACTGTGGTCCATGCGTCAGGCAGTGAGTTTCGTGGGTTATTTCAGACTATTCTGTATGGGGAAAAAGAAACCAAAAAACCATCCATTTGTTAAACATGGGATGAGAAAGTGAGGAAAGGGCCGTAGTGAACAGAAACGGGAGATGGATAGATGGACATACTGACCAAGCACACCACCCACCACCTGATAAGTTGATTTATTTCTAGACTGAAAGCCAAATAGAAATGTGGGTAAGTGGATGTGCAGATAGACACACAGACTGACATGAATCAGCAGGCAGGTGGGCGGTCCTGAGAGGTGACTGACAAATAAACCAACAGACAAGCAGACCAATCGATAGACAGAGGGACCACTGCTCAGAGGTGATGGACGGACAGCTCAGAGTCCAGAGCAGCTTTACCACCATTCCATTTTCTTCCTTGCCAGTGGAACCCACTTTTGCTTGGTGTTTTTTTAAATTTATTTTTATTAGCACATGTTTGCAAAACATAATGACTGTGCACATCCTGGGGGGTTGGTACATGTACATAACACATCTCCATTCTGTCTATCTCTCCTCCCTCTTCCCCCTTCCCTGGTGTTTGGAGCCCAAGTCCTTTGGGGAAAGTCGAACCATTCCTTTACACCAGAGGTGAAACCTAATCAATCCATTTTCCTTGCTGCAGACTGATTTAAGAGTGGGTTTGTGGGGCTGGGGATTTAGGTCACTGGCATAAGCACCTGCCTTGCAAGCCTGTGGTCGTGAGTTCGATCCCCGGTACCAGTAAAAATACAAAAAAAAAAAAAAAAAAAAAAAGTGGGTTTGTAAGCCTGGTGTGGTGGTCTACATCTATAATCCAGGGAGGTTGAGGCAGGAGGTTTGCTATGCATTAAAGGCCAGCCTGGACTAATAGTGAGACTCTGTTGGTGGAGGGGAGAAGACATACAATAGAATTCCAGTGTTGAAATATGGCAAGTGATCTGTTTAGGAGCCCTTTGAAAACATTTACTTCAGTCTTAAGTAGGGTCACGTGGAAGCACATGCCCTTCTCTCCTTCAGTTCTGTGCGTTGCTAAGTGAAAATGTAGTGTGTTGAGATGCTGCAGCTTTTTTGGAATCCTGAGTTCAAAGCTGAAATATGAAGGTTAGTAGAGAAGTTTGTGAGTGCCATGCCGCTGGCCACACCGATCTCCTGGGGGCTCCCTACCCCAGAATACTGTGTACATGAGGGAACATTTTTTCCTATTGCCTAATCCCCTCTTGGTAGGGTCATCTGTTGTTTGTGGTGAGTTGCTAGACAAATCAACTAAAACTTGCCAAATAATGGAGAAATGGAGAGGTGGATGAGTGGAGGGAAAGTACAGAGAAAGACGTACACATACGAAGATGACCAATAACAGCCTAACTGATAGGTTGACAACAGCAACAGTAATGAAGATCCTGTAACACATTCTTCAACGTGAGAAGGCTAGGCAATCAGACAAATGGGCATAGGTGGATTAGGCCAGCGGAAATGGGATTGGAACATGGGGGCACTGATGGGAGGACTGGCAGGCGGACACAGCTGGACACACCAGCACTGACACCTGTTACAAGTGACTCCAGTGTAATGTGGATTCTCCTCAGTGTTCTTGGGACCAGCTGCACATGAACTCCCTCAACCTTCACTCGCTGTGCAATGAAAATTGGTTTCCTTGTCACTCTTTGTCATGACCAAGTTTTGTGGGGCAGGAATCATATCCTACTCACCTTTAACATCCGCAGACTAGCACAGAAACAAGCACATAGTAAGTAACCAATAATACTTATCTTCTGGATGAATGGCATAGTGTAGGCTGTAGATGAAAAGACAGAGGGACAAAAGGAAAGAATGGCAGGAGGACCAACAATAGGAAGGTAGACCAAATTTGGTACAAATAATTAAATCATATAACAAGTCAGTTGATGGGCCATCATGGAGCAGATGAGTAGCATGTTCATGTGGAAACCAACATGCCTGTTTCAGAAACAGGTGAACAGGGAAGCAGTGATCAGTAAACACACAAATCAGCCGTATGTGCCGGAGAGGGAATGAAATGAATGTGGATGACTCCATCACTAGCAGGCAGGCAGATATATTATGGATGGATGGGTGGAGGGATGGCCAAATGTTAGATCAAAAATAAGTACAATAAATGGGCAGGTGAACGAAGACAGATTTGTAGTCAAACTTAGGAATGTAGATATATGACTAGTTTAAACCAATTAAAAAGCTGGGCATGGTGGTACATACCTGTAAGCATAAGACTTGGGAGGCTGAGGCAGGAGGATCATTGCAAGTTGGAGACTGGCCTGGGTTACAAAATGAGCTCAAAGCCAGCCTGAACTGCATAGCAAGACCCTGTCTCAACAAGACAAACAAAATGAAAAAATCCAAAACTGAAAAAAATCAAAAGGAGAGAAATGGGTATAATAGATGATAATAATAATAATAGTATTATTAATGGGTATAATGTATAATAATAATGGGTGTAATGTTCAAAAGTGAACAAAGATATAAACAGATAAACTGAGGAGCTAATGGGAAGATCAGCAGTGTTGGACACCTATATGTCTGTGCCTGTCAGCTGTCAGATCAGTATCTCTACTGATGACACAATTTTCTTGTTTGGGGAGCATCCCTTCTCCCTTTCTCCTCTCCTCCTCTTCCTCCTCCCCTGTCTCTGTGTTCCCACACCCTGTTATACTCTGCCCCCCACACACACACACACACTGAGGCATCTTTTGGTTTTGTGCATGACAGAAAAAAAAAAAAAAAGTAGAGCCTGGATGCAAGGTGGTGTGGAGCCTGGAGCCATGGGAGGGCAGAAAACCCTGTCTACCTCCCACCCCGCCTCCCAGCCCCCAGTGCAGCAACTGAGTCCTGGTGCAGGATTCCCTTCCTGACCACTCACCTCTCTTTGCTTCCTGCCAAGCTTCTGAGGACCTGGGATTAGGTCAGTGAAGTAAGAACCTTCAGATCCGCTCACTCCCAGAGTGGGGGCAGACTCAAAACCAGCCATTCTGTTGCAGGCATGGAAACAGAGGCAAATAGGTGGCAGCAGGAAGGAAGCCACCAGGTACGCCACCCAAAACCTTGATTCTTGTGTCCATCTCAGTTCTCAGCCGCTTTGTGACTCACCTGTAAGCCTCTCAACTCAGAAATGGCTGCACCTGCTGAGGGCCAGGTACCACCTGTGCTGCAGGGGACAAACCTCTTTTCCAGGGGTGTCTTCTCAATGGCTTGTTCCTTTGTCCTGACCCTTCCTGGGTCTCATCTTTCTCCTGGGCATGGTGAAGGCATGCTCTCATAGCAGCCACCACATGTTCTGTGTCCAGCTGTCTCCTCTTCCCACTCTGCCTTCTCTGTGCCCTCCCCTTCCTGTGCCAGGACAGCCCACTTCCCCCTGGACTACAGCATGATGATCGAGTTTCATTCTGTGTAGCGGGCACTTTCCAAGCACCAGGAGGAGCTGATGACTCTTGGGTGGCCCCTTGTACTCCACAGGGAAGCAGCCTTTCAGTGCCAGGGGAGCAGTGGGGAAGATTTCACAGGGGTGCAGGCAGAGGGTGACCCATGGTGTTCATGCAGGCAAGGGAGCCTCCCAGCCCATCACCACCCCTCGTGATCTGCCCGGTGGTTCTTTCCGGAGCACTGCTCTGAACAAATGATCAAAGATGATTTAGTGTGGCCTTCAGAACTCTTCCCAGTATGACCTTGATTCCCTCCCATCCCTACAGGCCTTCTGGATGGCAACCAACCCGGCCAGGTGAGAAGCTCCACGGTTGGGACCCAGGCTCCTCGAGGCTCATGGAAGACTCCCCACTAGACTCTCTTGCCTGCTGGGTTCCACACTCTCCAAGCAGGCCTGATGTGTCCACTCAGCCTTCCCACACCTACCTGGATATCCAACTCTGCCTCCTGCCCCTGCCCTGCCTCCTCCACCTTCCTCCTCTTTGTCATGACCAAGTTTTGTGGGGCAGGAATCATATCCTACTCACCTTTAACATCCGCAGACTAGCACAGAAACAAGCACATAGTAAGTAACCAATAATACTTATCTTCCTCCTTGAGAGCTCATCGTGTGCTGGGAGCCAGGCTGCTTGGGTGCAAGGCTCTGGCTCTGCATCTTCAGAGCTGTTGGCCTAAGACGAACTACTTGTCTGGGTCCCATTTCCTTGCCTCCAGGACTGTTGTGTGTGTGTGTGTGTTGGGGGGTGGGGGAGGTGAGTCAGTGTGAACAGGGTACAGAACGGCCTGGCTCTGTCTGTAGAAGAAGGTGAGGGTTACTGTTCTGCTGTTCTCCTGACTGGCCTCAAAATTCTTGTCCAGAGATTCCAAGATTCTTGAAGACCCTCAAGATTCTTCAGGGAGCAGCCATCAGGACTGAAGGGCTCACCTGCCCTGTCTTAAAGAAAATAAGACCAAATGCTTAGGGAAGGTGCTCTCCAGCTTTTGGAATGAAAACCTACAGAAAGGAGAGAGTGGAGTTAGGGTTAGTGGCCCCTAGTTGCATCTGCCCCAGTTGGCGCCAAGAGCTCAACTTCTGTGCCCCACAGCCTCTGTGACACGGCCCTGCAGCCCACACCCTCAGGCATCAGGGTGAGTCCCGTGGAAGGGCACCTAGTAGAGCATTCCGGTAGCTGCCAGGGGAAGCTGTTCGAGGCAGACACAGTGAGGAGCAGGGCAAGAGGGCAGAGGGAGCGGCCCCTGAGGCACAGAGGCTGCCGGAGGGGTGGGCCAGCCTGGGAGCAACTGGGCAGCGTGGGTTTGGGTTTTTAATGGATGGGACAAGGATTCCACAGAGGGTCTCAGGACAATGTAGGGCACGGCTGAAGCTGTATTTCAGGGCACTCCTGGTGCTGCCGTTTACTTTCTAGCTGTGGTGCGGGCACTTTGCTCAGTGTCTCTGTGCCCCCATCCCTTGGTGAGGTGGGAACACCACAGTGCTGCAAAGAAGTGTGAAGTGGGGCCGTGGAGGTCGCAGGGTGGCAGCCCTGGTGAAGACTTCGACCACTGCAACCAGTTGTAGCAGGGGATGCAACAGGGCCAGCTACAGAGGAAGTCGGCTGAAGAGAGGTAGAGCTCACAGGCCACAGCCCCACCTGAGGAGAGAGGCTACGCAGCAGGTGGGTTCCTGGCTACCTCGAGTCTGTGGCCTGAGCCAGAAAAGGAACAGGCTGGCAGGAGAGGGTGAGCTCCTCGTGGGTGGGTTACACTGAGATTCTTGTGGGACTTCTGGGAGGGGAGCTGATCGGAGATCGATCTGAGAAAATCTAAGCGTGCATGGCCTGGGCCAGGGAGTGGAGAGGAAGCATAGCGTTTTGGGCAGGGCCTGTGGCAAACACAGTGCTACAGAGACCCTGGGAGGGGAAACAGAGGCCTACAGGGATGACTGTGACCCCGAGGGTGGATGGAGGCTGGAGGGAGACCCAATGAGCACACCTGGGTGCCTTGGAGAGGCGATAAATGAGCTGACTGGAGGACAGCACTTACCAGTGTGGTTGGTGGGAGGTGGTTGTGATAGTTTGAAGAAAGAAAAGGAAGCTGAAAATTGGCATCTCTGACGGACATGTGTGTAGGGAGATTGCCAGAGTCCACACAGAGACCAGTCCAAACACAAATGGTTTTTTTGTTTTGTTTTTTGTCTTTTTGAGAGAGTCTCACTATGCAGTTCAGGCTGGCCGTGAACTCACTATGTAGGCTGGGCTAGCCTTTAATTCGTAGCAATGCTCCTGCCTCAGCCTCCCAAGTGCTGGGGTTACAAGTGTGCAGTACCACACTGGACTAAACACAATCCAAACAACCACTGTTTGTGCACCTCCTTTTCTGTTTCCAGACACACTCTGTCTTGTATGTGTCAACTCTGACTCTGCCCTGCCTCCTCTCTCAAGGTAAACTCTTTCAAGGTAGAATCTGCATCTTTGTTGGGTCCATTTCTGTGCCCAGCACTCACGTGTTAGAGTGAGTGAATTATCAGAGGTGAGAGCATCAGGTCTCTGGGGGTGCAACCTGGCAAGTCATCAGAGGGGCAGTGCAACACTGTGTCCTGGCAGAGGCATGATGGGAGGGCCGGGTGGGAATGCCAGACTCCACACATGCATTGTGTCCTATCTGGATCCTTGCTCAGCGGGAAAAGCCATGATTCTCCCCATTCTGCATATGCTTCCGGGATTCTGCAGCATCCCTGAGGCTCATCCTGGATCGCTCAGCTGTCTGTTCCGAGTAAACAGTGGGCCTTCAGGCACGGAGTGTTTACCAGTGCTGTGACCTTGGGTTCGCAGGGTACCCTCCCGGGGCCTCAATTGCTTTTTCTGTAGGATGAGGAGTCCAAGGTGGAGGTGCAAAGCATAAAGAAACTAACAACTCTGTCATCCATTTGGAGCAGGATTTTATGTGCCACAAAGATTCTACCCTGTTGGTGGGCAGCATTTATCCTCATTTTCAAAATAGAGGAATAGGGTCTTAGTTTGAGAGAGCTGACCACATACATGAGTGGGGGAAGAAGCAAGACTCTGCCCACTGGGGCTCCTTCCTCCAGGGGTGCTGCCCACTGGGGCTCGCCCGCCTGTGTCTGTGTGCCCCTCACGGTGTGGCTTCTGCACTGACAGCCGCAAAGACTGGCTGGACGCTGGAAAGCACAGCATACATAGAAGAACCACACCACGATCATCATTCCTGGCCACGCTGAATTTTCAAGTCCCTTCTTTGGTATCTGTTAGACCCCTTTCTGTAGCCTCAGACTACTGGCACCTTACGTCTGCCACTTGTTCCTGTTTCCTCCCATCTCCCGAGAGTAGATTTTCACTAAGTTCCCACCTATTCCTTTCTGTTCTTTGCCATTAAATCTCCTCTTCCTACAATTTCACTTTCCTACAACTTTAAGCTGTGACCTCCAAGCAAGTGACTCTCAAATGTATAATCCATCCCAGAGCCTTATTTCAGCTACCTGATGGGAATTTTCCGCCTAAATCCATGGTTTTCAGACTTTGCTGTGTATCAGAATCACCTGAAAATTTGTCAAACACAGAGTTCTGGGCTGTACCCCCAGAGTTTCTGATTCAGCCAGTAGGCCTGGGGTGGGGATGAAGAAGTTGTTTAAAGCATGATTGGATATCAGTGAGCTAAGTTGCACGTACTTAAATCATCCTTTTGATGAGTTCTGAGATGCAAATGCTCCCATGAATATCACAGTTGAGACCATGGACGTCAGCCTCTGCAAAGCTCTTTGTTCCGCTTAGAGTCTGTTCTTTCCTCTCTTCAACACCCAACCAGTACCCAGGTAACTGTGACCCTGTCTTTATCAGTATGGCTTACTATGCATTTTCTAGAATTTGTGTAGCTAGATTATATGATATGTCCTCTGTGTTGTTTCTGGCTCAGCATAGTTATTTTGAAATTTACCTATATTGATATATAATATCAATAGCTTATCCTTTTTTATTAAAGTAATAAGTAATTGAACAAATATATAACAATTAGTTTCTCCACTCACCTGCTGATGGACGTTTGAGCTGTTTCCAGTTTAGGGCTATTACAAATAAAGCTATTAAAATCACTGTGCTATTCTTTTGCTTGGGAGTAGATAGCTAGGTCCTAGGGTAGTGTATGGTCCACTTTATAGAAACTTCCAGGCTGTTTTCTGAATGGTTGCACCATTTTACATACCCACCAGCACTGTGTGAAATTCTAACTGCCCTGTGTTCTAGCCAGCATCTGTCTAGTGGGACCGTCTTCTTACCCTTTGCCGTTGCTGTGGGAGTGTGGTGTCTCGTTATGGGGTACTTTCTGCTATCTTATTGACTAATCATGTTGAACAATTTTTTAGGTGTTACTTATCATCCATTTTATCTTCTCGTGTTATGTGTCTGTTCAAATCTTTTCTTGTTTAAAAATTGGACTGTTTTCTTCCTATTCTCCTGTGTTCTTTATATATTCTAGAATACAAGTGCTTCATTGGATATCTACACATTTCTCAAATAATTTCTTTCTGCCTATAGTTTATTTTCAAAAACAACATAATTTTAATTCGATTAAGTCTAGTTACTGACTTTTAAAATAGTTCGTGTTTCATTTGGTCTCACTTAAGGAATCTTTGTCAAATGCAAGTTGCTAAGGTTGTCTCCTGTGCTTTCTTATGGAAGTTTGCGGTTTTGACAGGTTCTGCCAGACATGTCTAACACGACGTCCACCCAACTTGGCAATGGCTCCGAGAAACAACTTACCTCTCCACAAGTAACTTCCATGTTCTTCTTCTAGTTCCAGAAATAAACCTCCTGCTCCCTTTTCACGCGTGTGCCAAGCCTTCTCCAAGACTCGACAACCAGCCAAGCCTTCACACCCAGTGCAACTCTGTAAAAGCTGTGCCCACCTGCCCCTATATTGAGGGATTCTTGCACTCTTCTGCAGCCCTCCCGTTCCCACAATAAAGGCTCTTTATCTGTCTCTCTCCCTTTGTCTCTCAACCATGCCAAAAACCTAACAGTTTGAGCTCTTATGTTGGGCCACTGATCCTTTTCAAGTTAATTTTCATATAAAAGGTATCAGGACATGTGTAAAGATCATATTGCCTCATTAGTGTGAGAAGCTGAAAGAAACAACATATGTATTTGCATATGTATATGTATATAAAAAATAAGATAAAAATAACTAAATTGAAAAAATAAGATGTCAGGGCAGGGCAGGGTTAATGTTCTTTTTGGGACATCCAGTGACTATCCAGTGGTTTCCACATCGGTTGCTGAAAAGATCAGCCTCCCCGTGATTTTGCCTGACCCTTTTATCAAAAGTCAGCTGACCATGTATACCAGGTCTATTTTTGGACTCTCGATTCTGTTCCATTGATTTGTCTGTCTGTACACCAGTATCCCATTGCAGTACCATATCTTGAAGTCTTACTTAGGTACTGTAAGCCTTTCAATCACCTTCTACGTTTGTTGTTTGACTATTCTAGGACTTAAGCATTTCCATATGCATTTTAGAACTCATGTGTCAAGTTCTTTTCTTTTTTTTTTGGTACTGTGGATTGAACTCACGGTCTCATGCTTGCCAGGCAGGCACTTGTGCCACTGAGCTACATCCCTGTCCCCTCTGTGTCAAATTCTGTGAATAACAAGCCTGCTGAAATTTTGCGATTGCATTGAAGTCACTGAATCTATACATGAACTTGAGGATTATTGACATCTTAATAAAACTGGGTCTTCCAATGGATGAACATAGTGTTTCTCAGGTTATTTGGGTCTTTTTCATTTCTCTCAGAAGTATTTTATGATTTTCAGAATATGATTCTTATATATCTTTATTCAAATTAACCTCCAATATTTAATATTTTTGATGCTCTTGTAAGTAGTAAATTTTCATTTCCTATCATTTAAGGCTAACATATAGAAATCCAGCTATGTTTATAAAAACACAGATTTCTGTTGCAGTGGGATTGGTATGTGGTCTATGAGTCTGCATTTTTAACAAGTGCCCAGGTGGGCTGGTGCACTTTGGGAGTACACTTTAGGAACCTCAGTATTCTGTCTGAACTTCTCATTCTAAACCATCCTCATCACCTGGCCCCAAATAAACTCTGCTTCTGATTTCTGTTTTTCTAAAAATGGCCCTATAGGGGGCCAGAGATTTAGCTTAGTGGCCTAAGTGCCTGCCTCACAAGCACAAGGTCATGAGTTTGATCCCCAACACAAAAAGAGAAAAAGAAAAAAAAAAAAAAATCACGAGTCTTTTTGAGCTCTGTTTAAAAAAAAAATAAAAATAAAAAAAAAAAACAGCAACAAAAAAAATGGCCCTACGTCCAATTCCACATGCTTTAGTCAGCTGTCAGTGATTTCCCATTGAAACACCAATTTAGGGAGCACATCAACACCCTCACATCCAGTCAGCTGCTGCCCTGCACTCCTGGAATCAGTCTCTCCTTCCTCTTGGCATATCTTCATCTCTTTCCTCCTTAACTGATGAAACTTACCTCTAACCTCCTAACTGGCCTCTCAGCTCTCATCCTCTCCCCCTACAATCTGCTCCACACTCCCAGACAAAACAACTTGGATTGTGTCTCCCTCCCACTAGAGAATCCACCCCAGGGCTCCCACTGCCTACTGAACTTAGTCTGAACTCCTTTCTCTGACAGCACAGAGAGTTCTAGTTTTCTACTTGGAGCCATTCTGTCTTTTGTCTTTGATAGTAAAACTCATATCTTATCTAGAGACAAATTTGCCCGGATTTTTAAAACTCTTTTTCTCAGCATGCCTTGCAGACAAGTGACCATGTGACTAGGTTCTGGCCAATGGGATGTAAACAGGAGCATTCCATGGAGTGGGTAGTAACTAGGTGGACGGTCTATCTTCCTTTCTTCTTCCTCCATGTCTGCTATATGCAGGAGCTCCAGTGGACATCTTGAGCTATGTGGCAAACAAAGATGAGCACTTGCTGAGAATATAAGGAGCCTAGATCTCAGAGGAGCTGCCAGGCAAACCTGGATTTTCAAACTCTGAAATTATCTTACTTGGAAAAATAATCGTACATGTATAAGCTACTGTAATTTGATGGCTAATAGCTCTAATCTGGACTGCTATACCTGACATTGAAAGCTCTTAATATTAGTTGCAGCATAGAAAGTATGACTAAAACATATGGTAAATACTTAACTTTTTAAATTTAGTACAGTAGAAAGTACATGGCTATTAATTCCTCTTAAAATCCTCCCCTCACTGTGAGTACACTTATCCCATCATTCTTGGCCCTTTCTGCAGCAGTTTTGGATACGGTGGATGAAGACACATCATGATTTTTGTGAGGCTGCCTTTCCACTGGATGGCACACGGTAGCTGCATTCACGGAATTTTTTTTCCAAATCCATTTTATTTCAAGGATAAAAACAAAAAGAAGAAGAAAAACTCCTAAAACTAAATTTCAAAACATGTCAACTGCGAGTAACAATGTATTACACTGTGCATTGTTATCCCCAAATCATTCACGGAGCACAAGACATCTGCATTCAGTTACGAACAACACCAGCACAAATCTTTCTCACAGTGAACTCAGAGAAAGAGTACTATAACTATCTTAACTATTTTTATATTTATATACATATACATACCTTGGTTCTTTCAGTTTCTCATGCTAATGAGATGATACAATGTTACACATGTGTGTCTTACTTATTTCACTAATGAGCATGGTCTCAAGTTGTGTCCATTTACCTCTAAAAGTCTCTAGTTTATCCTTGATGGCTGAATAGTACTCCATTGTATAAAAAGACCACCTCTTTTTTTTTTTTTTTTTTTTATCCTGGGAATTGAACTCATGACTTCATGCTTGCCAGGCAGGTGCTTATATCACTGAGCTAAATCCCCAGCAACCACCTCTTTTTTTTATCTATCCCTCAGTCAATGAGCATTTAGGTTGTTTCCAAGATCTGGCTATTACAAATTGTGCTGCTATAAACATGGGTGCACATACATAATTGTGGTATGATGTTTTAAATTCTTTTGGGAAGACACCCAGAAGGAGAATAGCTGGGTCAACAGATTTTTGAGGAATCTCCACATTGATTTCCACAGTGGTTACATCAGTCTACACTCCTAGCAACAGTGGAGAAGAGTTCCTTTTTCCCCACAGCCATTCCAGAATTTGTTATTGCTTGGTTTCTTAATTATAACTATTCTTTCTGGGGGAAATGGAATCTCAGTGTTGTTTTAATTTGCATCTCTTGAATGACCAGTGATGTTAAACATTTTTTCACGTATTTATTACTGTTCATATTTCTTCATCTGAGAAATGTGTATTCATCTCAGAGGATCATTTTTGAATTGGGTCTTTAAATCTGTTTTAAAGGACTGATTTTTTTTTAGTTCTTTATATGTTTTTGATAATAATCCTTTGTCTGAGGTACAGCTGGCAAACATTTTCTCCCACGTTGTGGGTTGTCTCTTCACTCTGTTAGTGGTTTCTGTTGCTGTCAAAAGCGTTTCAGTAGAGTGAGATCCTAATTGTTGATTCTTTGTGATAGTTTCTGTGCAATCAGGGTTTTGTGCGTAAAGTTTTTGGCTGCACCAATGTCTTAAAGAGCTTTACGTACTCTATATTTAATGTTTCTGTTTTAATATTAAGCTCTTTGGTCCATTCTGATTTTAGCTTAGAACATGGTGAAAGATATGGGTCCAGTTTTAATCTTTGGTATGTGCAGAGCCAGTTTTTCCAGCATCATTTATTAAAGAGGGTATCTTTCTTCCAGTGAATGTGTTTGGCTCCTTTGTCAAAGATCAGGTGGCTTAGTGTATCTGAAGTTGTTTCTGTGTCTTCTAATCTGTGCCATTGATCTTCGGATCTGTTTTTTGTTTTTGTTTTTGTTTGTTTTTAGCCAGTACCGCGCTGTTTTATCACAGTAGCTTTACAGTATAATTTCAAGTCAGGGATTGTGATAGCATGGTCTTATCTTTGTTGCCCACGATTGCCTTTGCTATTCTGGTTCCAAATATAGTTTAGGATTGTTTTCTCTATTTCTGTGAGATATGTTATTGGAATTTTGATTGGAATTGCATTGAGTCTGTATAACAGCTTTGGAAGTGTGGCCATTTTCACTATATTGGTTTTTCCTACTCAAGAGCATGGGATAGCTCTCCATTATCTAATATCCCCTTCAATTTCCTTTCTCAGAGTACTGTAGTTCTCAATGTAGAGGTCTTTTACATGCTTCGTTAGATTGATTCCTAGGTATTAATTTTTTTGGATGCTATTTATAAAAGATATTGTTTCCCTGATTTTTCTCTCAGTGGGTTTGTTATTTATGTACAGGAAGGCTATTGATTTTTGAGTGACTTTGTAACCAGCTACATTAATGAATTTGCTTATTAAATTTAAAAGTCTTTTGGTAGAGTTTTTGGGGTCTTCTAAGTAAAGTATCATGTCATCTGTAAATAATAACAGTTTAACTTCTTCCTTCCCTATCTTTATTCCTTTTATTTCTTCCTCTTGTCTAATTTCTTCAACTAAGATTTCCAGGACTACATTAAATAAAAGTGGAGACAGTGGCCATCCTTGTCTTGTTCTTGATTTTAGAGAGAAAGCTTTTGTCCATTTAGTATAAATGGACAGTTTTTTTTCATTTAGTATAAAGTTGGCTGTTGATTTGTCATACATGGCTTTTATAGATTCAGATAAAGACCCTCTATTCCAATTATGGGTAGGGTTTTATAATGAATGGGTGATAGACTTTGTTAAAAGCTTTTTCTGCATTTATTGAGATGATTATAAGGTTTTGTCCTTGGCTCTGCTAATATGGCGAATTACATTTATGGATTTACTTGTGTTGAACCATCCTTGAATTTCTGGGTTGAATCCCACTTGATCATGGTGTATAGTCTTCTTGACAACTTGTTGTAGTCTGTTTGCCAGTATCTTATTGAGGATTTTTGCATCAATGTTCATTAGGGAAATTGGCCTGTAATTCTCTTTCTTAGTTGAGTCCTTCTCTAGTATTGGTATCAAGGTAATGCTTGCTTCCAGGAATAAATTTGGGAGTATTGCTTCCCTTTCAATTTCATTAAAGAGTTTGAGAAATAGTTCACCATATTTTTTATTATACTTATTAAAGACACTCATGAAAGTAGACTTCCAGAACTGCTTCAGAAACTGGCAAGAACAATGGGATTAAACCGTGTTTAAAGGGAGGGTATATTGAGGGGGATTAATGGCAATGTACCTTTTAGTATAATAAAAATTTAAACATTTACCTCATATTTCAGTCACCTGGCACAGTTTTTAATTTCTCCTCTAGTTCCTTATGCAGTCACGTTACTATTTTCTGCTTTCTAGGGACAAGTCATACCTTCCTGTGTATTCTGTGTTCATCTCATGCCCTTTTTCCATGCCTACGTATTGAAATCCAACTCACGTGCCCTCTCCTCCATGAATCCTTTCCTGAGTCTTCTCTCTAAATGTGCTTTATCCCTCTTTGAGGGTTTTGACTGTACCCTTCTTGACAGTTAGAGTTTGCCCCAATTTGTCATTACGTAGATGCCTCTTCCACTAGATTGCAAGCTTCCCCCATGATGCCAAGCACAGGGTGAGCAGTAAACAGGTATTTGCTGAAGTGGTGCATGAATAAATAAAGGAAAGGAGGAACAAGAACAGCATTTTTTCACCTCTTATCTTATGCACCCACCTTGACCTCTCCCAAAAGACATGGGATAAAATGGTTTCCATGGTAG